AGAAACTTAAATGAAGTCTAAAGTTTTTTAGGTTGTGGACATTGCTCAGGGTTGATGTCTCACCTTTTCTGAGGTCATCTGGGAGGTTGCAGATCAAGGAGAACTTGTGTTTATAAGGCTGGGCTCTACATGCAAAGTTTCTGGAGCCTTCTCAGTGATTGATGACCACTGATACAGGTAGTAAAAAAAATGATTTTCTGAAAATCTGCATACTAAAACAGTTAAAGGACTAGGCTTCTGTAGACTTTTGGGGTAGATTTCATTTCAGAAATATTGAGGAATGTTTTATTTTTCTTCATTTACAGGTAAAAAAAGATGAGGTTAAACATACAATTCATCTGAAAGTTTTAACCTTCAAAGAAAGATTCTATATGTAGAAAATAACTATTGTGTTTTTTTCCCTGCTGCTATTGGAAAGTTATTTGGAATTCCAGCAAAACTGAAATGGAGCATGAAGAGATGGGTTAATAAATAGGCTGAAAGTGAATAGACTTTAAAGTGACAGGTAGATCCAGTTTCCACACCCACCCCTTGCATGAACAAGCAGAGTGAATGTTGTGCATATGGGGGAAAAAGAAGATGAAAGTCTTTTGCATTTTTGTATCATGTTAATGAAAATAGCACAATCAGTATTCCAGATAGCAGGTGGGTGTTGCAGATGACAAAAAGCAACAGCTGTTGTGTTTAGGATTTCTAGAATAGTGAATAATAGGAAGGACATAAAAATATCTTGTCTGTTTCAGTTTTATCAAATAACCAAGTTTTTTCAGTCTTAGTGCCAAGAAAAGTTTATTGGGTTTTATCAAATCTGTTCCCATTTATTAAAAACAATAAGTGTTCTTGATAAAAATTTCTATAAGATTTCTAATAATAAAGAAATTGAAGAATAAATATATAAAGCAGTTCATGGGAAGCATATTTAAGTAGAGTAGAATTTGAGATTATACATACATCTTTAAATCTAAAATGCATAATTCTGTGGTTCACACCAAGCAAAGTAAATTTTATTCTATTTGTTCTCCTCTTCTTCTTCTAAATATTCCTCAATATTTTATATAATACTGAAGATATGAAGGTGTAGTTTGTTCTTAGCAGTAGGTAGGAAGAAGCTGGCTGTTGGATGGTTGAGATTTAATATTCATCCAACACATTCCTACTTTAGTATTTTATTTTATTTTTTATAATCTGGAATTTTTTTTTTTTTTTGTTTTACTTTAACTACATGTTGGAAAATATTAGACAAGTGTTTCATTTGTTTAACGTCGCCTCCATGGTCCATATGCAACGTTAATGCTGATCAGGTTGCACTGATTGGATATCTAATTACTCAGCAGTTTTGAAACCTGCCTTCATATCTAAAAAGCTGACTAAATTTACATATGAAGCTTTATAAAACTGCCTTTGAGAATCTTGACACTTTGAGTTTAAAATCAAATGGAAATTGTTTTAGACCTTTTGCAAGATACATAGTACTTCCATTTTTGGTAGAATATTGTTTCTTGTATCATTTGTCAAATCAGATTCCTTTATTGGCCAAACTGTGGAATCAAAATTAATGCATTCATATATTTAAAAAAAACCTTACAGGATCATTGTGCTTTTGGCAATGAAATTGTAGCTTGATAGAGTTGTCTTTTTTGGGATTAGTGACTGTGCATCACTATTATTTCTTTTTAACAGAGATAAAATTTGATTAAGGTGAAGGAGATTTGGAGGCACCTGCATTTTTCAGTGAGATACTCGCTCCTATTTGGTCCAAGAAAATGAATAATAAAATCACTATGTTGCTTGTCCATCTAGGTTAGGTGAATAGTTATTAGTAATTTCTATAAATCTCTAATCAGTAAGGTACTTGTACAGATTTAAAGACCTTTCTGTCTGTCATCATAAAAGCTGCTGATGTGGTGTGGAAGGAATGCATACTCTTACTGATTTTTTTTTTCAGATCTGGTCACTGCAAAATCCAGTGTAGGTTTACTATGTTTGGTTGGTTTTTTTTTTGAATTCCAAAGTAAGAATATAAATATAAAATTGTGTGGGGCATCTCCTCCAAGCTGGTTATGTTCAACTTTACTCAGTGCACCTTTTTTTTTTTTTTTTCAAGGTGAAGAAGAGCCAATGGGTAGCTTACAGACAAATTGAAAACAAAACTATTGGTCTTATTTAAAATCTAGTTGATTTGTAAGCAGATAAAGGTGCTTACATTTGCCACCTTCTCTCTATTATGTCAAATTCTTATCATATCCTTGTTTGACTTATACAAGGCAGGCCCACAATAAGAAAAAGCAGAACCAAAAATATCCTTTCTGATCTTCCAATAATCTATGCTGTACAGATTTAAGACAAAGTTGCCTTATTTGTATTTATTAACCCTTAATGGATACTTTTCTCTGTGAAATTTGACCTACAGCTTTCTAACATATATCAACTTCTAGTGTATTAACGGTTTCAGCTTTGTTTCTGCATGGTGTGTAAGAGCACCTCTTCTTGTCTGTCCTGAACCTTGCATGGGATAGCTTCATTTGATACTATCTTGTATCAGAAGAGAAGCGTCAGTGTTTGGATTATCCATCTTCTTGCTACTCCTGGTTTTGTAGTCTTGCATCTGGCTTGCAGGCCAAAACTGACTTAGTTAATTTAGCTATTTCTTGCACCAAACTTGTTTCATGCTTTGGATCATCTTGTTTTCCTCTTATTCCTTTTCATTTTTTTTACTTCCCTTTTTAAGGTAGAAAGAACAAAACTGCAGACAGTGTTCATTGTAGTCTGCCTCACGAGTTAATAAAATCTGTGATTTATGAAGATGATCTGTCCTCCCTTCCTTTCCTAGTATTTTCTAGCCTTCTATTTACTTTCTAAACTAACTTATCTGATGTTTTTATAGTATTATTCTAACCCCAAGATCTTGTTTCTGAATTATGTCAGTTTTGAGTCCACGTATTTGTGAGTATGTTGGAAAGTACAGGCATCATGAATACTTTTAACTCTTCCAAAGGAAATTGCTAGATGGGCAGCTGTGGAATCTGGGATGTGAGAAAGTTAACAAATGCATTAGTGTGTATGAACCATGTGGTTTTGTTCACATGATTATATCTGCGTGTTTCACAGGGCAATTTTAATTAAAAATCCTTACATTGATATAAAGCATGCAACAGAAATAACTGTTACAGATAGAGCATGCATGCTATTGAGTATTGCAATGAAGTAAGCTACTAATGAGAATAACTCCAGGATTGCTTTTGCCAAAATAAGTCCTGCATATTTTTCTTAATAGCAAGAATCTCCTCCTCTTCTCCCAAATAAAAACAATTTAGTGGTAGGAAAAAATGGCATTGCTGAATGAAAAATGGGAGCAGCAATGCACTTGGGACTTTTGGCTTATAGCCAGTTTAATGAATGGGAAAATGTAGAAAGGTTAAGTAATAGGAGTGATGAAAGATTTATTGAACTCATTTTATCTGGAAAGATTAATAGAATAGAATCAGGAGGCCTACTAGATTTTGAATGAATTAGATGAGGAGTGCTTAATCTTCAAGTACTAATTCAGTGAAAATATCACCATATTCAAAGAAAGGCAAACACATGTGAAAGATCCTCTCTGTTCCTTTGAGACTGGAAAGGACATCTGCTGGTATGATACAAAATTTTTATGAAGGAATATTGGACGTGAGATTAAGATGTTGCTAACAAAGACAGGGAATCTAAAGGTTTAAATTTTTGTGGTGTAACAAAAACTGAGCAAAGATTGTGTTTCCCACTCCTCTACCCATCAAGAAGACCTGTACTGGTTGCTTGCAAGTCCCAGCATTTCTCAAAGCTGTGTTTGGTGGTTTGGTTTTGTTTGTTTCGTTAGTTTTTAATTGTTCTCTTTTCTCCATTTCTTGAATAGTTTGCCTCGTTCTTCTCTATAGAAACTTATTTTTCTTTGGTTTTAAAACTGGGAATAGTGCTGCTTTTCCATATTGCCTGAGAATTCCAAAATAAGCCCCATCATAAACTGCCTTCTTCTTACAGTTCACTTCTTTGTGCGGTTTCCTTATTGCTTGCTTGTCCTCCACTTGATGATTGATTTAAGTTTTTAACTCAGTCTCAGAATGCCTGTGACTCCTCCATTCAGAGCCAGACTTAATCTTCACTTTATGGTTGGAGTCCACGTGGGCTTTATCATTATATTTTTCTTGTAACCTTACCACAAAGGGAGATTTTGTTCCACTGTAAGGTCTTATGTTGTTCTAACTGGTGTGGCTGACTTGATAATATCGCAAGGTTCAGGGTCATACAGTGCTAAGCACATTGCAGAAATGTGCAGTAATGACAGAAACAGTTTCTGTTGCAGTTATTACAGCCTTTTGACAGTAGGTCTCCCACATTATATTCTGAGGCTACAGTTATCTTTCCTTTTCTTACTTCTGTTTATCTACTTATATGGCATCCTTTATTGCTGTATGCGCTCATCTTATAATGGAAACTTTTTTTGATATTTCTTTTGTAATTATGAAGATCACAGGCTCAGGAATGAGATGATAGGATTAATTAAAATAATTGGTGAACTTGATTGAAACTTTCTTGGATAGTTTTTGAGAGCTACTTCTGTGAACCATCCGGCCCACCCACATTATTAAGTTGTCATTGATCATTTATAGAATAGTTGTCTGCTGGAGATTGGGATATATTTTGAAGTTTATACTGTAAAGAAATATTTATTTCTGATTACTGACTTCCTTTTGTGGGGCTAAGGCAGTTATACAATGTCCCTAATCTAAACTCTTTTGTAAGCCCAACTGATCGGAATTTTAGGAAGGAGTGCACTATTCCTGACGCCATGCTTTTTAAATAGATTTTCTCTCCAACTACTGATGTAAGATTCCATATATAGGAAGAAGTCTTCAAAAAATAAATCAATAATTAATGCTAACAGCAGCTGCTGATTGGCTGAAGCCATGTGTATGTAATACATATGTTTGGGGAAAGGAGTTCATTATGTTATTGTGTGTCTCTAGGAATCCGGAAAGACCGCAGAGGTGGGCGAATGATGAAACAAAAACGCCAAAGAGAGGAGCAGGATTCCAGAAATGTGGAGGCTTCTTCTACAGAGCTGCGAGCTCCCACCCTTTGGACAAGTCCACTGGTGGTTAAACATAACAAGAAGAACAGTCCAGCCCTGTCCCTGACAGCAGAACAGATGGTCAGTGCCTTGCTGGAAGCTGAGCCACCCATAGTTTATTCTGAATATGACCCAAATAGACCATTCAACGAAGCCTCTATGATGACCCTGTTGACCAACCTTGCAGACAGAGAATTAGTGCACATGATCAACTGGGCAAAGAGAGTTCCAGGTAAGGAAAAAAAACCCCAGTGGACTACAAAAAACTTCTAGCTGACAAACAAATAGGAAAAAGGCATACTGGTTTTCACACTCCATATTCTAATTCCATGCAAATTTTGCACTTATGTAGAAATACATAAAAAAATCACAAATTTTGTGTTATATTTGTTGATAAAAAACTACAGTGCAATGTAAATGACTTTTGAAGAAAGATTTATTCAAGAAAAGATATTTCCCCACACTATAGAATGTTGTACAATTTTTGAATGCAAATCCTTTTTTCAGATAAAACCCAGCAAAATAAAAGGTATAAAAAGATCATTAAAAGTCAATTCTGATGTATTTAGTCTAACCAAATTATGTTAATTATTTAGATCCCTATCAAAGAAAGGATTACTGTCATGTCTGTAATGTAAATCATAAATTCAGCACCACTACTTGAGTCCACAATTATTAGTATTATTTATTTAATTGACAGTTTATCTTTTTGACCGTAAATTACAGGTCTTCCATGAGTTTTGGTTCCGAGCCAGAATAGCAATTTTTTGTACTAAATTTTTTTCCTACTGGAACTAGATGGTTTTTTTTCTTTATCATTTTGGTGCATCATGGTTGCTGAGCTCTGACCCCTCTTTTCTGTAAAGGAATTGCAGAATCGTGGGAAACAACATTTTTGATTGAATGTATGTTACACATTCCTTCACATGGTTTAATTAATTTATATCAATAAATTGAGAGAGTAATTTTGTAATTAAAGTTAATAATCTTTTAAAATATGACTGCTTTTCATAAGTTAACATTTAAATGTTTATTAGAAATTTATTGCACCTGCTGTACTTTTAGATTTGTAAAAATACAGGCATACATGGTAATTTATACTTTATAATTGACTGGGATTCTGACCTCTTAAATTTTTACTGTAGCCATTTATTTCATTAAAATTATGTAGCTGCATTATGCAGGGATGTTAGAGAACACTACCACAACTCTCACTCACATAGTGTATTACCTCAACAGTATTACACCTGGGTTATGCCATTTTTCTATTTTCCTTCATTTAAACTTGGCAAGACTTTTCCTGGTAAATCAATAACCCATAAAATCTGAGACTTTTCCAGACCTCATGGGTTCCCTTTTCACCACTTTTCACATGTCACTTTGTGGGCTCCACCTATGATCAATGAGAACCTGTGTGTGTTTCATTTCTCATCGTATCTTATAAGAAATCACCAGACAATTTTATTCTTGACAAAGTCACAGTGGTTAAGACCTGATCCACAGTCTGTTCAAGTCAAGGACAGGTTCTTCTGTTAGTTTAGGTGTGCTTTGAATCATGCAATTTCAAAATTCTTTCAAAAAATTAGCATATGTCCACAGTGTTGAAACTATTCATTATAAAACCAGCTAAATTCAAGTTACTTTTCTACTGATTTTAGGGATATAATTAGTCTAAGTCTGTTAAAATCCATTAATCTACATTCAACATGGATGTATCACATTCTAAACTCATTACGTTGTCCAACTGGAAACATTTGATTTTGATAATTAATGTAATTAATGAAAATGTATTTAGATATAAAGAAACACTCTAAGGGAACTCAGATCTGTTTTTTATTCAGAAATCTCTCTAAAACTGCTTGTCACAAGATTATTACATCGGTGAGGATCAAAAAACTGCCTGGTTTACTAAATACATCCTTTATTTCCTAAGCAAGCTTCTGAAATTTGGAAATCAAATATACAAAGTTATCAACAGTTTGTGCATATCCGATGTATTTTACATTTAAAGAAAAGTTCCTGTGAAATGCCGAAATAGCTCCTAAGGATAAACTAAGCCAAATGACTCTATGTATATGCATTAATAAGTACTCTAACAGGTGAATTTTTCTGGTTAACTTTGGTTAAAAAACCCCCCAAAATCCCTTCTCAGTCATAATTTGCTCTTTAGGCACTGTACAAACAATCATGCCAAAGGCAAGTCCTAAAGTAGGAGAGATAGAATATAATAGATTGGGGATTCTGAAAGTGCTGGACACCTTGGTTCTTGGTGTTGTGGCTTGGAGGACGATATGCATGACCAAAAGCAGAAGTTAAAGTATTTTAAAAAGTTGATATAAAAAGAATTAAGGCCCTATTTTTACCTACTTCTAAAATTGGGTCCTCTGAGAGTAGGAACTTAGGGTGCTTAAATCTTTTCTTTGGATCTCTCATTTGGTCACTAGAAAAGGTTGAGTGTTCTTAGCTGCTGATGTTAAATCTTAGAAGTGCTGATCAAAGATAGGGCCTTTGATTGGATTGTTTACCTAAGTTTTCCTCTGCTGGAATGTACTGGCAATAAATGTATTAAGAGAAAAGTGTCTGGCAATAGAAGTCATATTTTCACTTCCACAGGATGTTGCCTTTGAATACTCCATTTTTACTAGGAATTACGCAATACTGCTTAATTAGAGAGGATTTTCATATACTTTATGCATAAACAGAGGAACTGAATAACTTTTTCGGTTAGGTGAAGAATTTTGTGAAACAGCATTGTGCGGTTCCACTCATTTATTTTCAAAGCTAATTTACTGATGTTTCAAGCTTCAGAAACAAGGGTGAAAACATCTTTTTCTAAAAAGTGAATGTGTTTTTTACCAGTAGAGAAAAGCAGTTGCAGGAAATGGCCTCTCCTATGCTCAGCTCTCAAGCCCTGGAAGCATTGCACAAGTTCATTTAGCTAAATGCAGGCACTTAGCTGGTGGAAAGCAAGTAGCAAAGTCAATACAAGTGGCCGGGTTGAAAGCATATTTTTGAGGGAGGAAGAAATTGATACTAAAAGAGCAGAAATGCAATGAAGATGCAGCTTACAAATAAGAGTAAGGACTTTCAGGGACATGTTTGGAGTTTATTTTGCCATGTAGACTTTAAAGAAAAGGGAATGTGTGAAAGCAACTAGTAAATATGTTGTACTGGTCAGCCAGTCTTTCTGATGTTATAAATAGGTCGGCTTGGAAGAAGGAACAGCTAATTAGAAGATGTACTAGATAGAAGTGAATCTATTCTACAGCTAGGGATAATGAAAATTAAATTATGATGGACTATATAGTATAATGCAGGCAGAGATCTATTATAAAGACATACCGAGGACGATCTTCAAAAGAGGCATCTTTGCAGACATGTCCTGATTGGGGAGATGAGAACAGGTCTAAATATTTATTGCAACTTGTACAGCATTAGTTCAAACTTGCTTAAATTGACTCTGCAGTCTTGGCGGTGTTAACAAATTGCTGGGGAAAAGAAAACTTGTGGCACATTTTCATGCATAACCTTAAATGATACTCAGTATTTCAGTATAACATGATTGTTAACTGAGGTCATAACAAAGTTCTCACATGACAATGCAATTCATAATATGACAAATGCATAAAAGCTTATTTTAATTTTCCTTTGAAACTTTGGCCACTGAACATGAACAAAAATCTTGTACAATGTCCTATGACATATACAAAAAATTCAGAATGCCCCACAGGATTTGCTCTTTACATGGCCTAATGTTTTTTTTTTGGCCTAAGTCCTCCTGGATGGGCTCTGTAAGATACTAGTGATGAAGACACCAGCCTTCTGATTACCCCAGCCAGCTGGAATAGCATGCAACTGCACATAAGGTGGGTGCAAACAGATTTACATACACATAGAAATTGAGCCCTTTGCCTTGTAATTGGGACAAATCACTAAAAATCACATGTAGACAACATATCAGCTTAGTTTAATAATTGTTCTATTCATTTCTGAATCATGTATTCCTGAAGGATCTGTCTTTCTATTTTCTTCTTGGTTTACATAACGTCTTGGGGATATAGTACCACCTTTAGTCTCATATAAAGACTTTTTTTGTTTATTGAATTTTCATCATGGTCTTTGATGCAATGAGCAAAAACGTTACTTTGCTTTTCTACAGAAATGCTGATATGTCAAAGGAATTTCCTTATTGTACTTCATTATTCACTTACTGCATATATCATTTAATATCTATATTTGGAATACTCTATTCTCTAAAGGAAGCCAGTATTTTCAATGTAATCGTCGATCATTTTTTTGATCTTGAGATGATAGACATTACAAGCTTATACAGTGAACTCACGGTAGAGAGTGTAGCTTTAAGGAAATTTTGTTGAAAGGGTGAAATCTTTGGCACTGCTGCTACAATCTTGTATAACTATTTACTACAAGTACAGTAGCTGTACAACTTAATAGCTCTAAAATGGTACGCTGGGCATACACGCTTTGAAGTCTTGAGATGATTCACGGTCCTGTACTTATTTTATGGCTTTATGAACTGAGGAGATAAACATTTTGGCACTGATTTTTTTATTTCAAAGCCACAGAAGTTGCTATTTTCTTAAGATATTGTTTTCCTATTTGACCTTCTAAACTGCTCTGTTTGTTAAATTAGGAACAGTGTGTAAAGAGGCCAACAATAGCCACAATTTTACACTGCACTTCAGTGACACCAAACCTTGGAGAAAAAAAAAAAAAAGTCAGCTTACAGTGGAAGGAAAAAGGTCTTGCACAAAAAGTAGTGTGTGTTAATAACCCTTTAGGAGCAGGAGAATTTACAGAGCTGCTAAGTGTAGTGGTCCTCCTGTCAACAATTAATTTACACTTAGCTTAAAAAAAGGAATGGCTTGTAATTCCTGTAATAACTTTTAATAAACCTTCCAAAATATCTGCTTTATAGTCTCTTCTCCTTTGACTAATTGTCTTGCTGTGGAGACCTGTAAAATGTAATTTTTTAAAAAAAACCCCAACCCTCTGCTTATCTGTTTAATCTGTTGAAGTGATACTCTAACTGCTCCCTTGACATCATAGGGGAAAAAAAGAGGAAGCAAAGAGATCTGTAAGCAAAAGAAAAATAGTAAAAAGTATCTGGATCTTACTTTATGGCTGCTTTTTGCTAATTTAATTTCTGTGAAGTTTCAATTAATTACTATGAATGTAAGAGAGAGGAATCAGTCCTTATAGTGGAATAAG